TGTATTAGCTTTGTGGAAAACAAGCAAAAGCCTCCATCTGGCCTTTGCTTCCCAATCTTTGCCATAGTGGTATTGCCACTGCTTAAATGTCAGCTTGTGACAGCTCCCAGGATCCCCACTTGGCTCCAGGCAAGTCTGGGTCTTGATCTCTGTGGGCTCCCTCTACACTCCTTGCTTCCCCAAACTGCCTGAACCAAATCCTCTGCATTAACATTCCAGAGGATGTGGTCACTCATTTCCTTTCCTTAAGAATGAAGTCCACAGAGTGACTCCTGCTAGATAATTCAGCAACACCAATTTATCTGTAATGATCTCCCCTTCATAAGGCACTGTGGAAAGCAGAAACCCACCATAGCCAGGGATATTTGTAGCCAGGGAAATTTGAACAATCTTGTATTTTTATCCATGGTTTTCTGGTATCTTCAAAGTTAAGGAAATGTCATCTATGTGGAAATATCTGTAAAAATATCTGAAAAAAGCCCAAATACAGCTTTAAACTATGACTTAAAAAAATATTAAGTTTTAAAACTGATTAACCATGATTTTCTGTCTCAACTCATTTGTCTAATCCAGAAGTGGTATTTTGCTGGAAGAAATACACAACTCTCTTACAGGTAAAGTTAAATTATTAGGAAATAGAGAATAATATGGATGTTTGCTTCTCTGAAACATGTTGTGTGAGTTTCATAGAGCTATAACAAATGTTTTTATATTGTCATATATATGATGATGTTTTAAATGAGTCCATGGTAGCTCATAACATTTTCAGTAGTTTTCTGAAAAATCTGTAGAATTAAAATTAGTAATTTCATTAAATATTTCTCTATCTCAAGGATTTATCTCTACAACTTCAGATTTTAAAGTATTTAAATCTACTCTAAAGATTACTGGTTTAGGAATATCTAGACACATTGATTTGGAAGTTATGTCTTTTTTAAAAACCGTATTTTTCATGATCTTTCACTGTCTTTAGAATTTCTTACCAAATAACAGAATTACACGTGTTCATTTTTATTACACCCTAGTAGATTTTTCAACTAATATTCCTATGGCATCACATATCATGTATGTGATATTTAATTATTAGTAAACATTCTGTGGAAACAATCAGAACCATGCAGTTGGGTATGATTCTAATTTATCACACTCAGATAAACATAGATTTTCACTCATAATGTCATTCTGTTTTCTCCAAAATTACTGTGTTGCAGGGTTCTTAGACAACTTCTCTGCTTTTTTTAGAGTTGATTTACCAGTGGAAAAGTCTCTGCATTTTTCTCTCCAAATGTTCCTTCTTGCATTTTGTAGGGCTGAAACTCAAGTGAAAATCTTTTTTAATCCCTATGTGAAATGACTGTTTTCTGTAGGAAAAATTGCTAAGGAGTATGAGGATGAGTAATGAAATATGAATGTGTTCTTACTTTGGTCTAAAAAAAGGAAGTCTTACTAAAAAGGAAAAAATACTTTTAGGGCTGAGAATATAAACAAACAACCCAGAAATTTCAGTTCAACTGTGTGTATAGAGCACTCAAAGAACAGTTAATATATTATTTGTCAGAATACATGCACACAAAGATTTACAGGCACAATTCTGATGATAAACACAATTTTAGGTAGATCACAGAAAGTCCAGGGCTTAGTTTAGCACAGCATGCTAAAGCATGCTAAAGCATTAGACCAGACATCAACACAGCTACTGTGTGATGGATGACCTCAGAACAACACTTTTCTTCCTTCACAGCCCACCTAGCCACCAAAATTCACAGACCCCAGGACCTATGAAAATCCCATTTGCACCAAGTAACTACCCTCATGACGCCACTTTTTTCACCATCCTTGGGCTTCTTAGCACACAAGCCCACTGCTAGTTAAAGCACTGTGAGGACTAGAACTAGTCAACACTACAAAATTGTTAATTTATCTCCCACCTTTTTTGTAGGTGCTCCAACTACTTATATCTGTGTTTTACTTGGCCCAAGGACCAGGAATCACCTCTAGGAGCACAAACAGTTTAATAACATTGACAGATCCTGACCTTCTCTGATATTCTAAGTGTGTTAGGTGAGCAGGAGATGCTTATGCTGACAGTTAAATGGACCATGTGCTATGACAAAAGTCGCCTTTAAGGGGTTAACTTTTCCTCCCCTACATCAGCATGAGAGTAAACACACTTTTATTTCTGTGCTGTTTTATTTCCATTAGGAATAGTCTGTGGAATGTACTATCCCCTGGTCCATGCATACTACACCTGATGGTGGGACAATGACCCAACCTATGGCTTGGCTTTGTTCTATTTCTAAACACAGCACCACCATCTAGTACCTCTCTCACACCAAAGAAGCCCTTACTAATCCTGCCCTAAGAAATATCGCAGCATTTCCAGCATGATGGATTTTCTACTAAAGGCAAAATTCCTCTGGGTGAAACTGTAATCAAATGCCTCGTAATTCAAACCTTCATATTTAAAAAGGAAACACTTTCATTATCCCGTTACTAACAGCTGCACTGCCTCCGTGTGCCATAGCTACAGACAGAAGTTGGGATTTCTGAACGTAGCTTAGTAGCCAAGAGTGCTTCAAGCATCTCTGTCGGGATTGGTACCCAAAAAGAGGTTAACAATTGCATTGCCACTTGTTAGAAATCTGCATGTTAGAAATCTGCAGTGGAGGAATGTGAAAGTTCAGGGTCCACACTGGAGTAATGATACACATGGGAACAGCCTAATGGCAGGACACGATAGGTTTGTAACAAGCTAATTTTGTTCAAAGAAAGTGAAATGGAAATGAGATTCTTTTTCATTACTGTAAGCCCGATATTATGGTGAAGTATGCAGCCAAATACAGATAATTAGCTTTTTGGTTATTTCTCATCTGTTATCTTTAGAACAGAGATGAAATCAGTTTAGTAAGTTCCTCTGAAGCTTGTAATAAAATTCACCATTTTTGCTGAACGGTTATATCATGGATGATCCCACCAGCATAAAAGTTCAACAGAAAACACATTAAAAATTCTCCAATCAAGTTAAATACGAAAGAACTAAGAGCATTTAATATTTAAGCAAAAGCTTAATGTTTAGAATTCAAGTAGTTCTAGCCGAAATATTGAAGTATTTCCAGCAAGTCTCATGATAAGTCATCAATTAAAGAGTTAACTGCATTAAATTACTGCACACTACTTTAAATACTCTTCTCTCAAATTTCTCTCACCTTACAATGAGAAAGGTAGTTCCCTGGCTACAGTCAGAAATACCCAGTTTTACTGAATGTATATCTTTGGTGTTCACAGTTTCATCTCAGAGACAAATGTTACCTGATGTGTAAATGTTATCCTATGTAGTTGAGAAAAAATAAATCAGTTTTCCTTTAAGGAATAAAACATATATAAAGCTGCAACGTAAATAAATTGAATTGCTGTTGCTGTGGGAACCATAACTTTGAATATCCTCACTATTGTACATTTGAATTTCCTACCATAATGTTGCATTAACTTTTTTTCTTTTTTTTTGCATTACATTTATATCTAATGTGATTCCATTTCCCACTCTTTACAGATGCAGATTAGCTACTGTAATGTTCCTGATGCAAAAACTGTTTTTGGTAAATCATATCAAAATGTTTCATGGAACTCACGGAGAAGTGTTGATATATGGAAATTGGTCTTTTAAAAAACTCTTCCTAAACCCCAAATTGCATATTTTGAAAGGCACTCCCCCCTCTTTCTATCAGCACTTCCCATATATCTGAAAAATTAAAGGGAATGGCACATTCGTGACATTTCAAAAGGAAATTTCCTATTATTGCTGGCCTAATGCTTATTATAAATACACTGTACAACATGTTAGAGTAAACTAAACAAATAAATGTTAGTAATAGAAGTTAACATCTTCCCAGATTTATCAGGCTTGTATTGATAAAGAATCTTTCCCAATGAACTGAAAAGATCCTGATATATGAAAACACTGTATAGCTTTGGAACTTATTCATAAGAAAGTAATTTTAGAATATAATTTGTGACCAGTGACCTATGAATCAACAATTGACTGTGAACTTATTATGGTATTGAATGTATGCATTTAAAACCTGTTGTGTGGTATAACTTTCACTGGAAACTGTCTCTCCAGTGTTAGATTAACCCTTTGGAAATTTTCTCTTTTTTTCTCTAGTAATTTCTTCCTGTTCAGAACAAGATAACAAGTTAATTTTAGCTAAGAGTCAAATTTTTTAGGTACTACATGGAGTATATTAATAATGAATATATTTGTAATTGCTTAGATAAGGCACTTAGGGACAAATAGAATAGGTTCCAGAGAGAGTATTAAAAGAGGGACCACTAAAATCAGGATAGAGCATAGATCAATAGTACTTAAGAGAACTGGTTGCTTTCAAACAATTCATATGAGAGAGGTTAAATTATATCAATAAATTATATTCTTTCAATGAACAGTACTGGTAACAAAAGTTGAGAGCACTGAATCAGCTAGTGCTCAGTTCACACCAAAATATTTTTCCCTTAGAAAAATTCTTACAAAGTTATACTGCAGTGGAAATGAGGCACAGCAGTAAAAAGCAGAGTTTTGTTCCTCACTGTAATTGAATATGAATGGCTCTGCACTCCTCTTTTTGCAGCTCTTCATTTGCTACTGACTTCCTGTGGAATTGCTTGTGGGTTTCAGGTCCGCTTGTCCAAAAGCCATCCATGGGAGGATCCCACTGATTTAAATAGTCTAATGACACTCAAAATAATAATAATTAAAACAAAAGAACCCAAAAATCTTGTGAAAGAGAAGGCTCTACTTGAAACTGTATATAAGGAGATGTGGGTGAGCAAACATATGTATGTATATAACCATGTATGTATACATATATTTATACAAGCACAGGTCTGCATTTCTACAGTGAGCACCTACACACAGGCAAAACAACACACATTTAATTGAAAGCATCATTAAGAAGAGAATATGGAGGGAAGAAATGAGTATATTACACACTTCTGTAATTTGAAATTGATCACAAGTCATTCTTAGACGATCCATTTATTTCAGTGTCTTGCTAGCTCTGACTTATATTTATAATCTATCAAGCACTTAATCAAAATGTTACACAGCTTTGACAGAGAACTTTCCTATACTCTACAGGATATGACTGTAAAATGTCTTCCTTTCTTTGACTGCATGATTGAAAAATCAAGCTTTGAAATTTTATTTTAATAACATTGTTAAAGGTCTGTGTATTTCATTTCATTGTCAAAGTCTAATAGAATAATAAACCTTGATATTTCATCAGCCTTAAGTGTTTTCTTTTTTCTCTCTCTCTCTTTTTTCCCCACGTAATGGTTTTAGGATTTTAGTTACTTAGTAGATTTAAATTGTTCTCTTGGCATCTCTGTTACTGATTCAGATATCCTTAACCTCTCTGAACATGTAGAGACATCCTTTCATACTTGTATAAGGTGGAGATTTTCACTAAAGCTCCGTCTAATTTATACAGATTCTCCAAAAAAAAATCCTCAGAACTTGAATCTCCAAAAAAACCCTCCAGAGCTTTCTGGAATTTCTTTAACCTCTTCTTCCTTGTCTTTTTCTATATTTTGGGCAACATTAATAAAAGAATGATTGTCATAGATAAGGCTAAGTAAGAAATGTTACAGTAATTTTTCTCTGAAAGTGATCACCAAGTAATTCAGAAGTAAAAAAATGAAAACAAACCACCTTTTTGATTTAGTATTTATTATCTTTTTAAATGTAACTAAAATGCTTATGCAAGTTTTGTTTTGTATATGTAATTGTTACTAGTGATCACTAAAAGGAAAAAAACAGTATTTGTTGAGAGCTTAAATATTTGAAAATCGGCTTAATTTCTGTCATGGTCCAGTTAGGAATAAATATAGAACACTGTTCTGGGTTTGTTTGAGTTTTTTCCTCTAATATTTTTTTTTTGCCTCTAATAATATTTCAGTATTACATATTTGAACATGGCAATTTTCATCTAAAAAGTCAAAATGTCTTCTCCCCAGGTTCTATACCTGAGTGTTGCCCTAGATAGCTTTCTTCATTCTTCTCCCCCCCCCCTTCCCCCCCATTGTTGGAATTATTCTGAAAAAGGGGAGTGATAGGGAACTATTTTCTGGCATGTGGACATAGGTACTTTGATACCCATTTGAAAATAAAACCAAGGTGAATGATGGGAAATGTAAGTGAGGACAGATATATTTTAGCATTTAGGCACAGAGCAGATCTTTAAAGAGTGTGCTTACACTTCTTCAGGGAATGCTTCCAAATCAGAGCCCTCTTCCTCCATGAACTGGAGGGGCAGGAGGTTCAAAAGGACTTTAGCACAATCTTAGGCTGTAAATATTGTGTAATTGCATCAACTCTGCTTTAACCTTTTAGTTCTCACCAGTTCCTGATTTATCTGCTTTTTTGTGTCCTTTCATATGGCAAGGTGAAATATCTGTTCCCCATTTGTACCCCGCAGGCTGACCTCTGATCTAGACTGCTCACTCGGAATTCAGTTCCGAATGACTACTGTTCTGTCTGGCAAAATCTACATAATCTGCTGTCAAAGACTGTCAAACAAATGGTTGACTTCACCCCATTTCAGTAAAATGATCAAAACAACAGTAAGAAAAAAAAAATAAAAATCCTTCCTTGGGTTCAAAAATATGGTATGAAATTTGAGAAAATAGCCTGAAAATGAAAGAAATCTTTGAAAAGGTAAAAATTAAATTATTCTTGTTAAGATGTAAATAGCTGCAAAATGCTGAATGCATAGACTTAATTTTACTTCAGTTGTGGAAAAAATTTATCCTATTTCAGAATTGAATTCTGTAAATTTATTTATGTATCTATATATAGAAAATGCTTTCATATACAGACTATAGTGCAATTAAATTTGTGAAGAAGCACTAAAGAGCAAGCAATTATATGTGATCCAACAACTGCATGGGAATAATTATTTAAAGTCCAAAGGTCTTTGTTTAGAAATGTCATCAAATCGGTTGATTGGATATAAGCCACCATTATAAATAAGTTTACATATTAGTTTTCCTCAGGGGAAAAAGAGTAGTTAATACATCCATTTTTAAATGTAATTACATTTCCAGTTCTACATGTATTTTATAGCATAACTTGTATCTTATGAAACAATTTTCTTTTGTTCTTGTAATAAAGTTCTTTGGAATGTTAAATTAAGAAGCTGTAGGCATGCTCCATTTAATCTGTGTCCACTAGAAATTACATATTTTGCTTTCTAAGAGCTTTACATCCTTTTCATACATGAGGTTGTCTTCTTTTTACTGGCTTTGTATGTATAACAATTTCACTTTATTCTGTCTCTGTGGTTTTGGGTTTTTTTTAATTATTAAACCTTCAGAGATAGTTTATGCTTACCCTGAGAAGCAGCAATTCACTCTGCTAAAGGTAATGTGCTATTTTGTCTCATTATAATAAACATCAATGTTTTTACAACTGCAACAGTTCTCCACCAGTATTAGCATATTTTGGCTGAGGTATTGTTTTACTGTGACCTGTATAATAAGTGTCACATTAGCAACACAACAAATCAAACGTTTGTTAATTTCCCTCGCTTTCCCACACAGCTGCTGGTGTTATCGTGTCACCAGATTTTAATTAATATGATAAGTAACACTTGCAAGACAACAGGCTGATTTTTTCCCCCGTGTGTATGTGTGTCTCTGTGTGCACACGTGTAGACCAGAGAAGCAGCAAATAAGAGACTTTTGTGGCAATTGCCTTGTTCACATTTAAAGCAACTCAGTATTAAAAGATAATTCTCTTCCACCTTGCCCTGAAAATCCAGAGGAGGAGTCTGAAAATATTATAAATGTACTTGATTTGCCAATTCTATTGTTTAGTTTTTTGTATTTTTAAGCTTTCATTACCTGAGATATACATGGCAGTCTATTTGAATCTGCCTCATTTCTTTTGCCCCCATATAAGTAATAACAAATATGTGCCTGACTTACAAAAACCCCGGCAAGTGGGGTTTTTTTCAGGCATTGCATCCTTCTCACTGAATTGCTGTAGTACAAGTCAAAAGTGCCATCTATTTGTAGCAGCCAGAAATGCACCGGAGGCCAGTGCTGGATGTTGTGTGGGATAACCACATTCCTCCCTGGCATGCTGCTTCCCAGCCCGCCTTGGGGTCACCAAAAAGCCAAAAAGAGCCAGTAAATAGTTTGAGGGAATTGGCATGGGAGGTTCAAACCCATTTCTGTTTGTGACCTGTTAATCACACTATCATCAGCATCTAGAAAGAAATTCCCCACTTATGCAGAATTACCTAACTGTTTTTTTAGTCTGCCTTTGGAAATACAGAAAAGAACTGACTTAAAATTAAACTAGGGAGCTCGTCACATTGCATGGAAGGCAAAGATCTGAGCAGCAATTCATTACAACATATTTTTAAATATCAATAGCAGCATTAGAGATAGATGTATATATATAAATCCATAATTTTGTCTTATTATTGTGTAATTACAGAACACACAAATGCATTCTTGTTAAAGATATGGTAGAAATCAAACTGCAAGCAGCAAGTTAACCTTTCTAGTACAATTTTCATTAGACATAGTGAAATGTCTTGAAGATTTCACCTCAACCACTGCCAAGACCTCCCAGAAAGTGGAAGGATTCTTTTCAACATATATGAAAAACAGGGCCACTCCTTGAAGAAGTTTTGACGTCAATTGTGTTCTCTATTTTAAGGGCAATATCGAGCTTCCTACAATCTTCAAGTGGGAAGGTTGAAGAATATAACATATATCAAAATGAAAGGAGAAAACCCTGAGCAGCAGGGATCTGAAAGCAGAAAAGTGAGATGGGAATGGGTCTTGCAGAGAAAATTCCCCTGCTGATATCAAAGGAAATAAAAGTGCACACACAAAAATAAAAGACACAGAGCTGCCTTTTAAGGCCCTGTTATAAACTACTGCTGATATTAGGCTGCTGAATTTTAATTCCCTCCTCCACTAAAATGCCCTTTTTCTTTTAACCTACTACTCATTATAGCTTGCAAACCGACAAACTCCCCAGAAGGAGACTGCTGGGAGAAAAAAAAAAATGCCCTTATATACTCCCAGAACCTCTGCACCATGCAGATCCCAAGTTGATTCACTTGTGTGCCAGAGAAAAGGAATGGCACTTGGACATTTTATCAGAGAAGAAACAAATGTTATTAAGCATTTCAGAAAATATTTCGTAGTCAATGGGAATGCATCAACTCTGATTAAATACTGGTAGATATTATGACCTTAAAGTAGTCCTAAGGAAAAGGCACATCAAAGCTGTACAATTCCCAAGGGAACATTAAAATATATATTCAACCAAGCCTTGGAGGCTCAGTCTGTTGCAAATGAAGTTAATGTGATATTCCCATTCATATCAGGAACAAGATTGAAGCAGAGTGCACAAATAGTAGCACATCTCCAGGAGCAATGATTTTTGCTAGATATCTGGACAACACCTCAGTTAAAGAGAGTTGTCTGTAAGACAAATGTAACACCAGAGGATAAATAGATATGTAATAATAATAGCCATGTCTTATGTGTTTCAGTAGAATCAATAAGGCTTTTTATTCTGTGCTTAAAGAGCTGTGAAAAGGTTGTCCCTAAATGGTCCTAGATACTGACACCAAATCCCTCTGAAGAAGAGATCAGTAAATTGATGTTTCTGTGCATATAAACTAAAACACACAAGAATATGCACAGGTGCACAAGTTAAAAAAAAAAAAAAACAAAAACACAAAAACAAAACCAAAAAAAAAACCACCAAAACCAACAAAAAGCCACATGCATGCTTGATACTACTGGGTCTAAAACCAAACAGATTTGAGAATCTTACTGGGGGAAATTTTTTAACATCTTGCAAAAAAAATTAAAATGAATAGTGACCAATTTTATTGGCTAAGCAGACAAGAGTTACTTCTGTGACTAAAGGAACTAACTAAAGTATGTCTTTTTCAAACTTTGCAACTCCCTGAGCCATACCAGTAACCTACTGAAAGCCGAGTGCCAACAAAATTTCCACAGCTGTTTACATAAATCTAAATGCAAATCATACATCCATACAGACATAATGCTGTCACTGTTTGTATATTTATACCCTTTGGCTGAGGAACAGCAGTTGCTTCTGAGTTATTCAGCCATTTTAAAAACCCTGACAAGAACAAGCCCAGAGTGGTCTAATAGTTGCCTTATCTTTGGACTTCTGGAGATAGAGAACATTTGGGGTAGATGCAGTCCAATTTCAATGAGAGTGCCAGCATGTCCCACAGCCCCCATCATGTTACATGTCCCAGAAACACGTCTTGGCCACCAGTGCAGATGGGGAGAGCTAGATCTGCACTTGGAAACCCTTTGACTATATTGAGAAGGAAAAGACTTTGCAAAACAGCCCACAGAGCTGGAGGCTGCCTCTGACCAGAAGCTGTATGCTTCCCCCTTCAATACTTCCAAAAGTATTCTTCACCAGCCTGGCAATATCTACAAACTGCTCTCAGACAAGTCAATAACAAGAAAGGCTTTTCTGTCCCACATTACAGCTAAATAAATATTGATCATTCTTTGAAGAAAAAAGCTCAGCTGGAGAAAAAAGCTAAGAAAACTTGATTAAAGAACTTCCTAGGCACAAAACTCTTCCAAGCATGTCAGTCTTAGGCACAATTGTGCTACTAGTTAGCTACTAGTTATCGAGTAGGTGACAGTATCTCAGCTTGAGACAAAAGTTAACCATCAGAGACAAGGACCCAGCTCAATCAGCTTGCTAAATCCTTGCTTTCCTAAAACACTACACCAGGATATTGAAAACAGAGATCCCAAGGGCAACTCTTTAAACTCTGTGGCATCCAAAAGCTACTCCAAAACAAAAGCTTCCAATCAGTAAGTCATCAGTTTTCCAAATTTGAATTTAACTACCGCAGTGCAACAGAGCTAAAACTGCCCAGGATATTCTACATATGGATACAAGTAAGGACACGCCCATTCCATGGAAAACTTTCGCATTTGTTTGTGTCTAAGTTGAAGTGTTTAAACTGGATTTTTATGTGCAGATTTGCCATTCATCTGATAAATGTCTACAAAGAGAGACATCTATGGTCTGTGTGAGCACAGTTTTGCTCAAATACAAACTCTCATTCAGGAAAAAATGTCAGCTTTAAAATTTTGTTTCCTGAAAATGTTAATTCATACCTCCCTCTAATTCATACATTTGCGTCAGTTGTCAGCACTGAGCTGGTAAAAATCTCTGCAAAATTATCAAGCAGATCTTGATTCTCTCTGAGCTTTGCAGTCAGTCAAGCCAGTCTTTCAAGGGGCATTTGCAGTTGCTCAACAGAAGATACGACCAGTTGACAGTGAATCAGTGTCTCCTCCCTCACCTGTATAGTTAGTTCTAAGTCATTAAAATAAATAGAAGATAATATTGTGAGTAATGTGGAGTAAGTTTTGTTTGGTCAGTTAAGGTGTTTTTGGATTTATTGCAAAATTTTAGGAAATACATTTAAATTAAGAACTTTTTTTTTATTTAAAATATATACTCTATTGAGCCTAGTGTGTTTGTCTTTAAGAAGGTGACTAGCCTAATCTGAACACTGCATTATGGACATTTGAGAGGTCTGAGAAATCATGTGAGACAGTAAAGGATGCAGTAAAATAGTGTTCTTGCGCTTTTTTTGTTAAGTTCCTACAAAATTGTACTTGCAACGTAACAATCGCTTTGTCATGAATAGGGCTCTTTGTCAATTGCTAGCTGACCCATCTCTGCTGTTGCAAAAATCAAAAGAGAATTGATTTTGATGAACTGGCATGCAGCTTTAGGGTAACACAACCACTAGATGAACAAAAAAACAGCTTCACCACCAGTAGGCAAATCAATACTGTACCTGTGTCAGGTATATGTGGTTATAACAAAAGAAGTAGAAAAAAATCTGAAACTACACTTCTCTTAAAATCTGAGACCTTCATTGGGTGGTCCTGTATTTTTCTGGGGGTTTTCTGGTCTTCTCATTAAGAAATTGTGATGTCTTAAAAGAGGAGGACCCTACATACAGCAATGCACATATATTCATATTTATGTCTGGTCAAGAAATATTGAAGACATAGACCACCTTTAACCCTGAAAGTTTCACTCTCCTATAAACAAAATACATGAATAAGCAGAGAATACCATTTATCTATTTAAACTGCTACTAATAATAAAAATAAAATTATCCTTCATTACACAAACCATTCAAGTCAGTGCAGGAGAGCAAGTGGGAAAAAACAAAAGACCATTATATCATACATGATTCCTAGTTTGTCTTCTAATTTTAGTGATTGCATTTAGACTGGACATCTCATTAATTCAAACAGCCCTGTATCTTTTATTTCTGCAAATACAAAGTTCAGGAAGCAAGTGGCTAAGAGGCTTGCTCCTAACTCATCTGTCAGGTTTGCCTCTCATTTGAAATAGAAGTGGCAACCTCAACTGTCAAGACTAGGTAGAGTGGTTGACTATATTATAAACACAAGTTATGATGTACTGATACATGTCATGTTGTAGAGCATAATTTTTGATTGTATCACAATGATATCCATATTCTGTATCAGATGCACAGTTTTAAACATTTTTAGGAAAATGTCCCTGGTGCCAGCATAAAGAAAAAAAATTCTCTCAGAATGATTTGCAAAGTATAAACAGGTAATTAGATGTGCCAAAAAGAAAACATATTTTCATTATGGCAGCACTGAGGGAGAGGTCTCTTAGACATGTTGCTGTCAAAGGGGAGTCATTCCTACAGCCTTTATTCACCTGGTACATCTTCACTCATATTAAAGGAGTGAATCCATTGAAGAAAGGCTTTTGGAATGGCTTGGAAAGACTCATTATTGTCCATTCATTTATCTGCTATGCTGCTTTTCAGGAAAAAACCCCAAACTTACCATTGTTCCCACCACTTTTGTGCTCTTTGTGCATCTTAAATAATATTAAGGCATGCCAGGAATAAGCATATCTAGGGGGCTGGGGTTGTTTATCCTACAGAAAAGACAGCTCTGAGGAGACCTTATCAATCCTCTACAACCACCTGAAAGAAGATTGTGGCCAGGTGGGGCTCAGACTCTTCTTCCAGGCAGCTAATTACAGGATGAGAGGACATAGTCTTAAGTAGCACCAGGGGCGGTTCAGGTTGGATATTAGCAAGAATTTCTTCACAGAAAGGTGTGTTAAACTTTGGAATGGGCTGCCCATGGAGGTGGTGGAGTTGCCATCCCTGGCAGTGCTCAAGAATCAACTGGATGTGGCACTTAGTGCCATGGTCTAGTTTATGAGGTAATGATCAATAAAAGGTTGTACTCAATGATATTGAAGTCTTTTTCATCCTAAATGATTCTGTGATATATGCAAATAAAAACTTTATTTAAAAAAATGATGTAGCAAGAAAATTCTTCCCACACTTCATTAATAGGACATTCCTAATTTTTATTTCACAAATCCAAAACTCGATGTATTAATAATGATTCTATTTACTTTTTTAACTCTTCAGTTTAAAAAATCAATTACCTATTTGTTCTTAGATATATTTATTTGTGTCTCGTGAATGTTAATTATATACATATACTAGTATGCTGTCATGTGAAAAACCTTGATATATTGGTGTCCAAAAACTTCATAGCATGCATGAGAATGAGTAGCAGTTAACTTTATTCATAATTTGTAAGAAAGGCTCTCAAACATATCACAAAAGCTCTAACACATTATTTCTCGTTTATTGTTTAATGGTGGGGAGCATGGGCTTGGTAAAAGTCTCTTCAGTTATACAGATCTGTTCTTACTCCTTGGGAATGCTTCAACTATCTTCATATGTAAACTAACATCACCTAATGTAAATCATATGTAACTGTGTATTTATCTGAAAGACCAGAATTATCCTGAAGCATTTGTTTAATTCTCTCAGAACTATGTGAAATGCCTTTAAAGAATTAGCTTGTTATAGAATATTTGCTAAAGAGACTGGACCCCAATTCCTTTTCTTTTCATACCCAGAACTGAATTTCTTTTATGCTTCTATTAAAAATACTCTTGGGTAAATTTGACACAAAAAGCTGTGATTAAGTAATAATATAATGGTGACAGAAACAGAGAAATCAACAGTTACAGCTCCCATTAGTGTATGCACCTGCTTCACAAAGGTATATTACTTCATGTATCAATGGAATATGTGTGACAAAACAGAATATGTTTTCCTTGAATTTTTTTAACCTATAGTTGTTTGAGATAGTTACACATTCTCCCTGCTGCAAATCAGTTGAAAACTAAAAGTAACAGAAGCTGTATCCAGACCCAGTTTTGCTCTGAACGAGTCTGCTTGCAAAAAAATTAAATTTCTGTGATGTTTTCTGTGAGCCCTAAATGCTACACAGTACTTTAGTTATGGTGAAACCTCACACAAGGACACATCTAACTTCTTAATATTGGTGTTTTACTGGGAGACTCCATAGCAAATCTGTCTGATCTTGCCATTTGTTGAGCAGCCAGAATTATAAATAAATAAATTAACCAGAATATTAACTGCAGCTGCAGGAAACTCTCTCAGCGGATGTCAAGCTGGATGGTGAACGGTGCCTAAGAAATGGCAATCTTCAGTACCAACTTGGAGTAAAGCTGGATAGAGATATTCCAACTCTATCTTCTGTAAGAAATGCCATGAGTAAGGGAGCAGTGCTCCAGTGCACACCACAACTCTGGAAAAAGGGGCTGATGGAGCATTAATAAGTGATAAATAATAGTCATGTAAAGAACATGAGGGGCAGTTTCATAGCTTCCCAAATTCAAAAAACAAAGCAAAGAAAAACTAAAAAAAACCTGCCCCAGACCTTAGACCAGGTGAAATAAATTAATGCTATATCTCAGGGGATTAGATTCTAAAAATGGACATAAGAGTTGTTGAAAAGATTAGTCACCTAAATAGAATGCATTTTTGTTTACTGATAAACATCTATAAACTTACCTAAAGAAACTTCCACTAAAACCTCTTCTGGATACTATGAGTTCTGAAAGAAAATTTTAATTATAGACAGAATATATGATTGTAACATATCTGGATGTCAGCCAGTGTCCTGTTGTGCATCACCTCTGTTAAAGGAGCTTCCCATTTCTAAACAAACAAGCAAACAAAGGTGCCAGTGCCAGGGAGAAATCCCTATTCTAAAAGTAATAATTGTAAAATTACCATTTACTGCTTTCATGACCGCTTTCATGAAATTGTTAAAACCTGGAATAGCTCCTTAAGACTATTTATGTTTCCTTTAGGCCTTTAGCATAAAAACCTTTACCCAGTTCTAGTTTAGCTTCATTTTTATATTGTCAACTGCACCCTGTCATAAAAGGGAAACTATTAACTCAGAGGGGTCTTGGGGTTACTTTCATAGCCTATTCTGCCCTAAAGCTGGAGAGAGACACTTTACAAGGGCATGAGAATTGTAAGGCAATGATAAGACAAGGGGCATGATTTCCAACTGAGAGAGAGGAGGTTCAAATTAGATATTGGGAAGTAACTGTTTACTGTGAAGATGATTAGACACTGGAACAGGTTCCCCAGACAAGCTGTAGATGCCCCATCTCTGGAGATGTACAAGACCAGGCTGGATGGGTTTTGAGCAATCTGGTTTTGTGGAACATTTCCCTGTGCATGGCAGGTGGGTTAGAGCCAGATGATCTTTAAGATCTCTTCCAACCTACCCATTCTGTGCTTAGTGAAGGTTCTGTGAAGGACATGAACAATGGAAAACCTTTCAATGCTCTTAGATTATAGTGTTTATCCTGGAGGTCAGTTGTAAGATTGACAATTGACACCCACTTATCCAGATTTAAAATAGAAGAGCACCACTTCCATTGCCTTTCTGGATACCAGAGATCAGGCTGTCAACATACTGGACAACAAAGATGGTAGAAAGGGCTGGTCCTAGAGGTTGAAGGCAGCTTGTTGTATGGGTCTGCTGAAACCCCATATTCATGCTCAGATTGTTCAATGCCTTGCATTAGACAGACTGGCAGTCCTTGATTAAAAATGGGAGAAGGTAAGTTCAATATTGCACTGCAGCTCTGGGATGAACAGAGACTAGGTCCAGAAGGAACTTACTCCCACCTTCCATGGCAAAGCTGCAGAGGAAAAATGAAATTTCATTGTAATCAGTAGGAACTAGAGGAAAATCCATTACAAGATAAAAAGACTAGGCAAAACCGTTACTTAACTGGTCTGGATGCAGCCAAGCTGTCTACCTGAATAGAGACCCACATTCATCAGTTTGGAATCTTTCTGAGTCAAACAGGGGAGGTTAAGTTTCCTATTTGCTCAGTCAAAAGTTCTTTCTTGGGGAATTGAGGTTGTTGTAATTTCTTTGTATTCTGAATTTCCCAGGAGATCAGACCACACTGAAGTCTGAAACTGCCTTTTAAATAAATTAAAAGGAAGAGAAGGTATTTGCATGCCAAGGTGCAAAAATACTGTATTTAACTCAAATTTTCATACCGTAAGCCATATAGCAGAAATCAAGTTTTTATTCAAAAGTAGACAAAAGAGTTTATTAAAGACGGTATAACCAGGGTAACTGAAGCTTTTGGCTTATATATTACTTAGGATTTCTACAAAAATTATTCAGTATGTTCTAAACTAAGATACTCTGAATACAGTAGTCTAGGATATGACTTGATATAATACTTCTGAAAAATTCTCAAAAATCACAACCTTGCTGCCAAAGACTAGATATAATTGAACACAATTTATGCCCTCACATCATACATAGCATGTTCATTTGAACTTGAGGTGTTAGTCTTTGCAGTGAAGAACAACTAAATATTGGGTTGCACAAGCAAGAGGACAACCCACAGGTCAAGGGAGCTGATCTGTCCCTTCTACTCAGCACAGGTGAGTGTTCTACCACATCAGTGGTAGAAGAATGACATTGACATAACAGGAGCAATTCCAGCACAGAGGCACCAAAATGGCCAGTTGGCTGGAGCACCTGATGTACAAGGGGATACTAAAGGAGCCAGCTTGCTTGACTTTAAGATGACAAAGGTAAAGGTCTTATTACTATGTACAACTCCCTAGTGGGAGGTCTTGGAGCAGATGGAGGCAGCCTGTTCTCAGAGATGCACAATAGTAAATTAAGAGGGAAATTACAAGTTAAAATATAAGACTTTCTGATTTCCTGTGAATTAGGTGGTTTTTTGGGTTGTTTCTTTTTTGTGGTTTTTTTTGTTTGTTTGTTTGGGGGTTTTTTTTGTTTGTTTTTTTTTTACTATTTGCAATTAGAAGTATAACAGTAAGGAGCAAGAGTGCAAGGTTGTGCTTCTACCCCCAGCTTATGTGTCTGCCAAGGAGGTGGCCTGATAAAACAGACATCAAAGCTGTAAATTTATCCCAAAGAAAACATGATGTTGATGCTGGTAGACAGCAGAGCAACCATCAAGTTCTTTTAGTAACAGAACATACTTGTAGAGCCCCTGATCTACAGAAACACATAAAATTTAACTGCTTTATTTATTTGTTAGTTTTCTTAATTCCTAGCACAAATATGCAAAAAGTGACAAAGCATTCTCTTAGCTAATGGGGCAGAGCAATATGAAAACCTGTGCCCAGACAGATTCCTGGCAATTCTGCATGTTGTCAGGCTTTTTTTTTTTTTTTTTGTGTGTGTGTGTGTGTGTTTTTGCAAGTTACAAGGTAAAATATAAATTAAAACCGGGAAAGGCAAATGAAGAGAGAAGCATAAGGAAGCAGATAATTAGAGTATTAAAAAAAGCCACGGGAAGGGGAGGTGAATATTTCTGGCTTTGCAAATGAACTCTGTGTCCAAGAGCACGATTACTTCCAAGAGCAGGAGGGATCACAAAAAGCCGCACACTGTCACAGTACTGGGTTGCTTGTGCTGTGAAGGGATGATGCTGCTGCCCCTGGGAACAAAGCAACAAGAGCTGCACTCTGCTGCACTCTAGCATACCTTTCTTGCCATCTTGTCCTGTGGTTCCTCTTCTAATCACCAGCATAGTCCTGAGAGCAACTGAGGGTCATGACTCCTTCAGAATATAACTGCAAACATTTTAAGACCATCTCCAAATATTGCAAAAATATTTTGCCCTCATGTAATTGTGCTATACACAATTTTCTACTTAACAAGTGCACACTGGATTTTTTTTGTCCCTTTTTCACCATAGTCACCCAGATACTAAATTTTTCTCCCCACTGAGTGGAACAATGAGAATTTTTTACCATTATTTCAAATGTTTTTCACAAGCTAGATTCAAAAAAGGATAATTCCCTACTATATTTTCAGTCTGATTATCAGATGATGGCGGACAATAGATTGATAAGAGTCACTCAAGAAGATGCAAGCTCTTGTATATAACAGCCACTGCAATTATCAGACACTACTAAACTATTATTGATCCTGTTCACATTGGGTGATAACTGAGCATTTTCCACTTATTTAAAGTGCTGTTAGCCAGAAACTCCCATCAATAAAAAGCAGTAGACACATTTTTTCAAACATGGTTTGATAAACAATAATGCATATAGAAGGTCTATAGTTCTTTAATGTCAGTAAAACAGCTAACTGTGAAGCATAAATATACCATCCAGCTGCTGCTAAATGGTTGATTACAATAAAACAGGAACCTGCACAAGGTCATTTAATATGTAACCCAAGTATCACTGGCAGAACAACTGCAAGCCTCCAGGAAAAAAAAGGGCTGTTGTCTCACATAGTTTCAATAATACCAAGAAGAGGAAAAAACCCTCTCTGGATCCAAAAAAGTGGACTTCTCCCTATAAGATCATGGGACGGATCTCGTTGTCTCAACCGCAGAAGCAAGGTTTCTCATATATAATTGCATTATTTCAAAGGTATGTAAAGCTGTGTTTAATATTAGCTGGTGCATTTTGATAGAACTATAATCATAGGAAAAGTGGTCCTTATCAGTGAAATTCATATTACTTTCATTTTGTTCTCTTTAATACTGGGGACATACAGGATGTGATCTGATACTGAGTGTATTATATCTCTCAAGCAGGGCCAGAAGCAACATAGCAGTGGTCTACATGTAAAACTGGCTATTAAGGATATTAACTAGTAATTGCTTAGAGAAATCTCTCTAAATAATCAGTAATTAAAAAAATAAATAAAACAGCTGACCATTGTGATTTAAGTTCAGATTAAAATTGATCAAAAAAGTCAATTGGAATAGTTTTAATTATTTATGGTGCTGTATTTTCCTCCAAGAGAAGTGGTTTATATTTTACTGTGGACAAAATAGATAATTTGTAGCTACAACGGAACCTCTTTTATCAGTTGAACAAGTAACGCACAGTATTTCAGGTCAAAAATATCCTTTTCTTGATTCAAATAAACCATTAACAAGCCAGTTTCCTTTGAATCCTCTGCCATCGCAACAGCAAGGTTCATCAGCAATACGTACAGAGTCTGAATGAGCAGATTTGGTGAAAGACCCAGCTACCTTTTCAGCAACTTTTAGAGTTAAATTTTGCAGCTTATGCCCAAGGATAGGGACATAGTGTACAGATTATGTGTTTCCCAGACTACAGTTGATGATTCATGCTAGCATGAGACTCAGCTTGGCCTTGGTGGGGCTCAGCAACATGGGAATAAGTCTTGAAAGAATGACTGCAAATCTTCAAGAGTCCAGCTCCTGTTCATCTTTATCCATGGAAAGGCAAGGCAGCAGGAGGGGGATATCAGACATAAATTAACAATACATTTTAGAATAGCATGAGTATTGACTTGAAAACCAGTGCAAAAAATACACAGTTTGTTACCAAAGAAGATTATTTTTACTGGTGTAATTTTAAGAAATATAGCTATGGCATCAGTGAAAGCTCACTGCAGCACTATGAGCTGCACATGGTAAAGAATCAGGGAACAGAATTATGAGACTAAAAAGACTGAAGGTGCTTATAATTAAATATGAGTCATTTTTATATAAAACTGAAAAACACTTTTCAGACAATAACAAATGTTGATATTTCTATTTTACATTAAAAAGGCTAAAAACCTGATTTCCAAAGTTACTTACTCAAGATTAAAATTCTCAGACCAGCTAGGGGAGGCGTCCATTGTTTTGAACTCAGTGATAATAGACTAACATCACACCAAACCATGCAGCACTAAAGTAGATTCTAGAACTTCAAATCTGTTAAATTCATCAACACAGCCTACTACAAGCATAAATCTAAATAGCATAAACCAAATTTTAAAATATTTATAATAATGTAAACTCTCAGCTCTATCTCGACTGCACACTCTTTTTGGTTTCAAAGCCTTCAATATTCACTTGGGTCTGTTTTTCAAATTCCTCAACCAAACATGATTACTTTTCTTTTTTTTCCTCACAACAAATCTGTTCCCTTTTCTATATCCATCTTTCTGTCTTATTTTAATGCAGGCTGAGACTCTCCAATATTTACTTTGTTTTCTGAAGCTAGAATTTTAGGTACAACACCAGATGGCACGGGACTGTCATAATGCTCCTGAGGGCAGCAGTGCCAGAGCTGGTGTTGCCCCACAGCCCTCACTGCAGGAGAAGGTGCCTCACTTCAGTCTACTAGGGACATCCACAATGGCACAAGTAAACTAAAGGTCTGACCCAACTGCTTTTTGATGCCAGCTGGAAAAAAAAGATGTATCAGTACAGTTATTTCATCAATGCCTTGGACCTAGATAATTTTTTATGTCCCTTCCAACATAAAACATTATATGATTTTGTAAGCATTAGAAAGCATTTAATAACACAAGCTGGAATTGTACTTATGAACCCTGTTTTATCAATTAAAACAAAGTACTTAGTCCCCTTTTGTATGTGGGGCTTTTTTTCCTTATTTTCCCCTTTCTACCCTGATCCTCATTTTTCTTTGTAATAAAATTTTTAGAGATAAAGAAGAAGGGAATAAAAAAATAGAAGGAAAACCAAATTAATCATAAGGATGGAAAGGATTTTCCTTGAGCACTGAGATATGTTCATCTGGTTCAGTTATGTCTCCTTGTACTTAATGAAAAATAGAACAGTAGACAAAAAAAAAAATGTTTGAAACACTGACCCATTTCACCCACTTCAGTTTATCTTCCAAGTCCTTTTGGAGGCACACTTTGCTGGATGGTCTCTGAAATGTACACTGAAAAAAAACTTCTTGAGGGGATCTCAGAATGGCAGCAACCATAAGATCCTGGAGCGTTTCAGGACTTCATTGGCTGAAGTTCACGCAGATGCAGCGCGCACCTCTCGCTGCTGAACCACACGAATAAGGAAGTGACAGAATCCTACCAAAAGCCTCTCATAAAAGTAAAGGGCACAACCAAACAAAATTAGGCTTATGAACAGAAGTGCAATAACCTTAAGTAGAAACAGTTTCTGATCATCTAGCAGTAGGGCACAGAAATGCAAGAGGAACTAGTGAGTGAACAAAGAGAGATTTGACATTCGCTGCCTCTTAACACAGACACAGAAGGCAAGAAGCTGCAGTTCGGTATCACACAATTATGTGGCTCATTCATTAGTACCACATCATTGACTACACCATGAAAGAAATGACAAATTAGCAATTTCACAGGACTAGCATAATACTATCATTTGTATCACAAAGTCAGCAAAATCTAACCTCCAATAATTCAGCTCACCATTCTAACCCAGGGCAGGCCATCAATACGGTTTTATGTGGCTTGTACTAATCACTAAAGTCAGATAATATGCAAGGTTAATGGTTGCAGACAGTCTGGGGAAATATCCAAGATCTGATAAGGAAACCCCACATTATTGCTGTTCTATGTGTGTATATCCCAATCAAGAATAGGCAAAGGAAGGAAATCAATGTCTAAGGCAGTTATAATACATCTCTTGGTGTAACATATAAATTGGCCCTTCATTGCCCATTCACATTTCAGTTAATAAATAGTTCAGACATAGGACACATGGATAGTGAAAAAGTGTAACCATTGTATGTTTGTCTCCCGTACTTTAGATTTATGCTGTCTTAGTACAACAGACTCTATCCAGTGTTTTCAATTACTTCACTAGTCCTTTAAAGAGAATAAGAAGTGATGCTTAATCCTGATCAGTACTTTGTTATATAGTCCACCACCTGAAAGAAACTTGATGCATTTTTCCTCATTTAAACAAACAGATAATCAACCAGGATATTCTAATCATACCCTGCCATTGCTTACAGTCACAAATATATATTTCATCTCCATTGCCAATAATAAAAATTCCTTTTTTCAATACTAGTTACAGCAGATGGGTTGTTGATTTTCTTTTAAATTTAGCACTGAGCTATCCAAGGATACTCTATAGTAATTTGCAGAAAATGACTGACCTCAATACACTCATGCATATATTTCAGTGCAGCTTTGCTTGTAAAATATAAATTCATATAATTTAAACCCATACCTGTCTCATGTTCCTAAAATGCCAAACCCCACACTTTGAAACTTTTTCTGAGTAGGCCTTTTTTTTCCTTCTAATGTAATTACATCAAAAATGTAAACTAAGTCAAAATTTGGTTTACTCTGCACAAACCAAAACCAGGCAGGCAGTGCATTTAATTCGTAACTGTAGCACTCAATGCAAATGTAAAATTGGCAGCTTTGATATTGCAGCATTAAATATAGCTTATCTCACCAGTGACAGTGAGAAACAGGCACTCTCTTAGGACTGTGAGTTATGACAGTCTCTCCAATGAGTGAAAAATCATCCCTGTACAGCTGTCACTGATGAGATTTTCCTTTCTTTTTCTTATGGCATGTGAGTGCTTCAGCATAGTTGCAGCCACCATGCTAGAGGCAAAAATGGAGACTGCTTTGATGCAATGAAGTGATGAAGTGTACCCTATTGTTCTGCACAGTTTTCTTTGCCATAGTAAAAAAAAAAAAAAAAAAAAAACAGAACCAAACCAAAAAAACTAAAGTTTCTTAAGAAAGAAAACAAAACTTTTTGGATATAGTAACTAGCTGGTATTAAACTAATGTACTATTTGAAGAAGGGATTAGAAAATTATAAGCACACAAAGTCAAAGATTAAGAGATGTCTCCAGTGCTTGCATCATTCAGAACATGACTTCTTTTTGCAGAATTGCATAAGTGCACTTTTTTCAAGTGATTTTTCTTATGTGCTTTTTACAATTTTTATGGTTTGGTTCACCCCTGCATGAATGATAACAAAGCAATCCAAATGATCTTTTTCAAATTTTTCCTCAAAACACTCATTCAGACACAGATGGACTAACAGTGTCCTGTGAGTAGATGTAAAATACGTCCAAAATACTGTACTTACTTTTATGCACTCTTCTTGTATTCTTCATGCATATAAAACCTCTTGTGTTTTACTTATGAGGAAAAGTTTGGGGAAGTTAAAATTTGTTTGCTCTAAGTTATTCTAGGACCTTTTATAATGGCTTATTTAAAAATTAATGAGCTGGCTTAGAGGTCTGGGGAGTTCAATTTCAAAATACCTCATTAACTAGAGGGAAGTTCCTTGAATTATAACTTTCCAAGAGTCTTCAAATGAGAAGTCCAACAAACCTTCATCTCCATTTTTCTAGCTAGAAAATCAGAACAGGTGGAGACTTTTTACTGCACTCCAATAGCAGAGGATTCATACCAGGATCAAAGGTAACCATTGCCAAATTTGAACAATGTGGTTTTTCTCTGGAGCCTAACCATCTCCTGCTATCTCTTGCATCTTCATGGTCAAAGCTGCCTCTTTCAGGAGCAGAAGCTCTGCGGAGCTCCAGCAGCTCTCTGGTAAAAAGAAAACTACCCTGAGAATTGCTCAATTATCAAAGCAAGCAAGCTAAAATTGAATCCTAGACCTGCTGTCATATTGAAAAAGCAGTCAGGTTTCAAGGGGCAGAGAATAATAATGCAGTTATTCTTAAAAATACAAGAGAGAATTGATCATAAATTTGAGTTTTCTTTCCCTCACTCAGAAGGAGAATGCTGCAGTCCTAGATTAACACTATCTGAAGAGAAACAAGTATGCAGAGCATCAGCAGTAAGGCCTGGAGACCTCAAACAAGATTAATTCACTCTGAACCCTTTTGGCACCATTGTGCAAAAGAACTGCAAAGGGAGTGTGGGGTAGTGACTAGAAAAAAACTGAGCCAAAGAAGCAAGGCCAAGGTGACAAAATATTTACTGTGGTTTTAAACTCCCATGAAGTATTTCTTTGTACACAGAGCTTTTATGTAATTCTCAGCCATACCTTGGTCTCAAGGAGAGAAATTTCCTGTTGACCACTACAGGATTCAGCCTCAGCAAGACCCAAAAATGAGTTCTGATTTACAAAAGAGATTACCCAAACTGAATGTATAAAGACTACACATGCAGGAACTCCCAAAGGCTAGATGATTTATTTGAATACTAATAAGAGGATTGTCTCTCCAATGTCAATGTCTGTCAGTGCTGTTTATATTTTAGCAAGGACTAAAATGTTTATTTCTGTTTATTTGAGGACTAAAATCAGATCTATTTGGGTTTTTAATACATAAAATAGTGAAAAGTTTAACAGTTCAACAGGACTAAAATTCTTCTGCAAATGAGCAAGAGCTCATTGTGCAAAGTACTGACACTTTCTTTAAGGATAAATGAATAATAGCTCTCTTCAAAATCCTGAAAATAAATGTCTTGCATTGTTTCTCTCAATGCAAAAGAAAAGGAAGGAAGGGTTGAAAGAACAATTAAAAGATAAGGACAGAAAATTGTCCAGCAAGTTCATTGCAACAGCTGATTGCAGCTGTTTTAAGGTAGCCTTTCCAATTCTACTACTAACAGTACTTATTTTTCAACTCATATTAATGCAACAATGCTTAATTGTTTTCTCTTGGTCTCAGGGATGCTGGATTAGGTCATTATGTAGCTATGTTCTATCTTTATTTAATTTATATTATAGCTCATAAATCATACTTTCATAAAGTGTGCATTTACAGAAAGAATCTGATTGGATCACTAAAACTTCCACTTTCATTCCCTCCTTTTTAAAAAGACAAAATTAGGATGATTAGGTTGGCTTTTACACCCTTTTCCTCCTTTGTTTTGCTAAGAAAGTGGTTAGATCACAAGAACAATTTTTGAAATATTGTTTGAATAATGAATTTCTGAAGACGTCTCCCTGAATCTGAAGAGAGCCTGAAACACCAGTTCGAGATGTAGGCTTCCTCATTCACTGCAAGGACTGATAACTCTGTGACTAATCACAAAGCTGTGTCGATCTCTGTTGTTAATTACATCACCACTAATCAAGGCTTAAAAACAGAAGCATTGTCAGCACTGGTGCACAATTCTCAGTGATACAAGAAGCTAACCAAGTAGAAATAGTTGTAAAGTTCAAAGGAACAAGCTTTGGAGACTCTAACACTTAAAATTATGGTGAATTACCTCAGAAAACAAAATTTCATACAAGAACATGACACAAGATACATTGGGAGAGCCAGTAAACCTGGGACTGCAAAGAGAAATCTACCATTAAAATTCATGGCAAAACATTGATGTGAAAAGAACCAGTGTTCCATACAATTTCTCTTCTCTTGGACAACATAGTTACTTAACATGGGACAGGTTGGAAAGAATAAGTCTCAATCCAAAAAGGAGCTGGTACACAGAAACTCTATATTATCTTTCTCATTTTCCTGATGTATTTATTTTGTTAATTAGATTTAAAACATTAGTAATACCAATATAATGAAAATAGCATCTAGACATTATTTGCTGCTTAGAAATAGAGTAAAAACTTTCAAAATAAAGAAGGTGTTGAGCTTCTTAATTTGGTATTATATTATCAGAGATGTTTCTGATGGGAAAAAGAAAGAAATGAAATGAAATTAAATGAAACGAAATGAAACTAAATTAAGTTAAATTAAATTAAATTTACCCCAATCATGAGCTTCTCCCATCTGAATTTTTCTCTCTTTTCTTTCTATTTTTATTTGCCTTTTATTCTTTTTCCTTCTATCCCTTTTATTCTTTTCTCCCCATAAGCATCTTCAATTATTAAAGTAGATTTCTTCTATTTTTCAGTAGTCAACAGCTCAATACAGCGGGCAAGATGAGCAAAGTGAGCTATCTTCGATTTTAGGACATGGGCCAAAAAAACATTGGTCAGACTCCTACAACAAAAGTCCTGCACTCATAATGTTTATTACACTCTCCAAGGAACTCTTCAGTGTTATTATCCTCACTGATGAAAGGTTTATGAGAAAGTACTGGGAGTAACCTTGGATGTTTCAAAGTTTCAGCTTTGAATACAAGGGTTAGGGCAGTTGAGGTCTGAATGGGCATTCTGAAAATACAGTATAAACATAAAAACAAGGTGAATCAACTTGTAACAACTGACTGATTTGAAGTGAGTAATTTTATTAAGGAAAACTCAAAAAGTTTATCAAAGAAAACTAACCACTGAAGCACTGCTGACCATGCTCTGAATGAGTGAAGGAAGCTTCCTCCTCAGCAGTGGGAATGTGGGGGTAGATGGGTCTTTATCAGAAGCTTCTAAAGTTTGCCTCTAATGTTGGTGGCTGGATAATGATTAACCATTTTTAACCTTTTTTTTTTTTTTAAGCCTATCATCAGTACCTCTCCTACCCCAAATTTTCTATGGAAGCAATGGGGACCAAACATAGCTGATTGTGAGCTTGGAAAAAAATGTGTAAAGAGGTTTTGATTGTAAGTGTCAAGAGTTAAAATTATAGCTGTCTGCTCCTGGAAACTGAGTGCTTTGACACAGAGGAGTAGCTGAGTGAATATACAACCTCAGCTGTACCTTCCCTGTACAAGGCTGTATCATCTTTCCAGAACCTTCGGCCATAAAGAACAGTGCTGCTTCTTGGAAGGGAATATTTTGTATGAAGTTACACAGCACATGGAGTTTGCTGTTCAACCTGATAACTGATGTGAGTCAGGACCTACATATTCCTGGGAAATTATTTTTGTTCCCTAATATGGGGTCTGTCCATCCCAAATTGCACTCCTAAAAAAGGAATTCAATTAGTAATAAGCTTACCTATCACTTACCAGCTGACCATGTAAATAGCCTGCAAAATAGTAAAAAAAGGCAGGTAGTAATCAAATGGGATAATAGCTCAGGGGGAAAAAAATATGCTATTAGCCCTGCTGGACTCCACAAGGCAAACAGCCCTTCCACTCATAAAACCAGGAATAGATCTGCTGCACAGCAAGAAATCAGCTGGGTTCGGCAGCATGTGTCAAGGCAGAGAGGGAGCAAACCTGCTCTTGTGAGACAAAGGGCTACTCTCTGTTAGATAAACAACATTAAGGCAGCACGATCAAAGAATATTTTAAAATAACCACTATCAAGAAATGCAGAGAGGAAGAAAATATTCAAAACAACCTAAGTGGAATCTCACTGAAAAATAAAATAAAATACTCCTGCCATACTCATGCCAAAACATTGAATCTGCTACACTTTGTGGTGTTCTTCCTGCTGTTTCAAGGAAGCCAATACATAAAAGAAGGGACAGAAATGTAACCTTTGCCTGTTCAGCCCAGGTTGGTACTGGAAGCTGGGAAGCAGGGTCACCTATCCCTACCTCTAGGAAAGTGCCAAGGAAGAGGACAGAGGTTCCAAACTAAAAGAAGTCAGTTATTTTCCTACTTTGAGCCCTTTTCAACTATGAAACAACAGGGTAATGATTTTTATTATTATAGGCCAGCATGAGATTCCATGTGCCTAGTCCATTTTCCTGTTCACCATGAGGAGTCTCATCATGAAATGTTGGGGCTGGAGCCAATGGAACAATTGGCTACACAACAAAAAAATTTCTCTGTCTTCCATCATGTCCTTTAAGGCATCTTTGTCTCCCATGCCTACCTCATCTCAAACAGAGGTAACATGACTTATTCACTGGCTACTCCACAGGTGCCTTAATGGCTGTGAGGCAGCTGGGGATCCTCTGGTAGTCTGGCATAGACATCACAGGAAGGATGATTCCAAGCAATGAATCAGGAATTCATTAAATGTCTGCATTTCGTGGTGCCAAGGGAAATGGCCTAGCTGCAGGCAGCAGGTCACCACACAATTATTAAATCAACAGCTGATTTCTAGTAAAGCAGAGTATTTACTGGTGTTAAGGTACTGATGTTAAAGTCCCAGTGCAAGAAACTCTTTGATGTGTTTCATGTAACACTAAGATATAGTACAGACTCTTTTCCTGACAGATTTGTTTTACTTATCTATGTCTTACATTTACAGTTTTTCAAAGCTCACATATGTAGGATCTAAAACATTTGAATTTGACTTCCTTGCTGTGGAAATGGTCTGTATTTAAATCTTCTAATTCCGAGTGTCACTGAAAAATATGCACTCAGTTTATCTGCTTATGCACAGCTTGAAGCAACTCAGCAAAAAAAGATTACTTTAAACACCTGAAATAGGATTTTCTGAGGTGCCGAGTGCCCAATCATCCAAATGTCCAATAGTAGCTGCAGAAGTTCAAAGCTACAGAAAAACTACTTCCTTATTTTCCTGTCTGATGTAAACACATTTAATAAAGGAAGGGGGAGGGAATATGGAGTTTGCAATTAGTTTACAATTAGTTCACTGTTTCAGGGCAGGCAGTGCTCTTGGAGGTTGAACAAATGCTGGAAAACAGTGGCTAATGGAAGAATAAGCAAGAACAGACATCAAGAGCAAACACTGAATAAAAAATGCCACCTGCATATTTTCTCTGTCAGGGACAGTGGCACATCTCTCTCCATATACATATGTCACTTTATAAGCATGCTGACTGTGTCACCAAAGCATCTCGGGTACAGATGAGAAACAGACAGAGCTTTAGCTGTGTAGGAGTTCATAAAACCAGCAAATCCTTTCAGTATTTCAGAAGACATCCAGGAACAAACTGTTTACTACTCCTTGTGCTCTCTATCTGAAAAAAGTTCTTTGTTACCAGAAGGTGTAAGGACACTGCTTTCAGCAGTGCTGCTTCTGCTCTCTCTAAGTTTTCCCACAGATATATCCTTTGACTTGTTTCAGTGCAGGACAATGCAGGCAACCGGACTTCTCTATCAAATTAAATATTTATGTATGCTTATGTCTAATGAAGAGCATCATTATGCTGACAGGTTAATCAAAAGAAAAAGCAAAGGGAAAGTACATTCTGTGAACATCAAACTTGAATGAAAAATTAAAAATGATATGTAAAACAGGAATGAATTTATCATCCTCTTTTAGTCTCTGACTCTCTCTCCTCCAATTCTTTGTTTGCCTTGTCTTTAAAAGATGAACAACTACAATTTAATAGAAACTTACAGTAGACACATCAGTACAAGTTTCAAATGACAATCCTGAAAAACATTTCTAAAGTATTTTTTAAAGTTCTAATGAAAAAAAAAAGGCAAAAAAAATAATGGCACAAGCTATTTTTTTTACATAAAGTACTGAACTGAACATACTCAAACAGGTCGTCATGGTGGTGCTTCCCACAGGCAAACTACTCTGGCCCTGCCTTTGTTTGGCCAGACCTTTCATTAAATTACATTACCTGGCATTCATGCTTCAGACTATAGTAGGTAAGCTTACAGACCTGAGGTGCACCTATTTCCTGAAGTGTCCTCTTCCACATCAGTCACATTTTTTACTTAGACATTTTTCCCTCTCTCTTTCTTGAAAATTTCCAGACTAGAGAACAACAAGCATGACTTTATACAATTATGTCATTATCTTCTTTTGATACCTTTCAGCCATCAGGTCAGTCTGAATTAGTGTTTGTTACAAATAAGAATCTGTAACAGTATGACATGGAGCAGTAAACTTCTGTCCAGTTACCTCACAGTTATGTCCTCTGTGTTTTGTGCCTTGAGGTACCATTGCACCTCTTCCTGAAGAGAAGACCAGTAGAGCATTATCTTATCATCGATAGTTAGCTCAGTGTTACTGACAAAGTGTCAACTTGTGCTGACACTCTGAACAGCTGCTGTACAGAGAGAGCACTCACCACGATTAAGTGTTTGCAGTCATTTACAGCCCAGGTACTTGGTGAGGAAGACAACTTTTCCAGCTGCCTACATTCCAGTTTCTCTTCTGTTAGCAGTATATTATCATGGGTTCAAAGCAGACCATTAACAAAAGAAGTAAGCAAACAAAAGGTCCTGTCATTCACCCAAGGAGCAAACATCTATTAAAAAAACTGATCAAAAAGTAAAGCACTCCTAATTTTGCAACATTCAAGACAATAGAAAAAATCAAAACAGATACAGCTCTGTTAACATCCTTTCAAAACGGGATGATATTATGCACATGTTCATCCTTCAGTGAGGTGGCAGCTCACGTCAGTGTAACACCAGGTGGGTGCACATGGCTCAGCATGCGATGATAGTCTGATTTCAGCACCTAATTACCTGGATGAGGCTCTCAGACCTCATTCACAAGTTCCACCAGTCCCTAGCCAAGGCTCCCTTTCTCTGACCAAAGCAGCTTCTTCAGCCCTATCCTCCAGACAACTCAAAGTCTCTCATTTAGTTGTGAATTGATGCCACCCCCCAAATAGTGCCATGAGCTCATTTACTGTGAGCTAACTGCTTGTCTTCAAGAGCTCCACAACTTTCCCAGTGACAATCAGCAATCCCCTGCTGCCAGTCTGAGTCCTGATAGTGAAGAGTCACAACAAGGAGGTGCCCAGCTCTCCTCTCCTCATAGTGAAGGCAGCACCAGGTTGTGCAAGGACGGGTACTTGCTTATTGTGTAATAAGCACAACAGATATTTTGCATAAAATGAGCCATATCTGTGGCATCTGAGAAAATATTTTTGCCTGTATCACAAGACTAGCTTATAAAGGCAGAATTGAATTATTAACAGTTCATGGAAAAACAGCACTGAAGTTCGGAGAGGCCAGCAAAATAAAAAATAAGAGCAACTAAGAGTTAATTAAGTCATTATTTTACACATTAAATTGAATGTACATATTGAAAATGCAGGGAACTGAGACAATAATCTATATCCCTCAACTTAGAAACAAGCAGAAAATTAGACTTTGCCATAAGTAATACCATTACAGACAGGTAGGGAAGAAAGGTCCCCTTTAAGCTAATCTGGTGCTTACTGGTTTCAGAAGAGATAAAGCAGCAGAATGTACTAAGCCCCAAAATGAAAAAAGGGGAAGGTTGGGGGAATGTTCTCATCTGGATTGTTCAGTGGGCTCTTGGATCAAGTCAAATCAAGCAAGTCTGTTGCACTGGCTCCACCCTTAACCTAACTTCTCTGTCATTACATTTTGTATGTGCTTTCACGACAAACTCATTTTGCTTTGTCAAAACAGGTTTAAATCAACTGCATTTTCATCCAGGAACCAAAACCCCTTCCCCCAGGCTGTGTGGGGCCTGTTACAGCTCCGGCAGTGGGAACCAGGGATCCCTGTAGAGCAGCCCCAGCCCCAGCCCTGCGATGAGAGATGGGGATAGCAGTGAGTCCCGTGCAGGCAGGGAGACACTGTGACAGCTCTGACAGGTGTTAGAGGCATTCTGGCAGGACCAATGGACTCTGAAGATGCATTCTTTTTGAAGGCATATTCCTTCTTCCTGTCCTTCTTAGGGTTTGTCTCTCCTGCTGTCCCCTCAAAGGCCCCACTTCTGCAAGTGGAGTGGGGATGTGCAGCCCTCACCAGCAGCACCATGGGAGTTAGTACAGAGTGCCTCATTCACTGCAAACTCATGCTTTTGCACACCACATACAATCTCTCTTGTGTAAATAAGCAGTTTAAATGTCACCCTTATACTTCACCAAGGTGTTTATTGTGGACGCAGCACTGACAGCATGAAACTGGTACACTGAGACTTAATTCTTAGATTTTAGACTTGTGAAAAGCTAAAATGACAGTCATCACACATGGTATTCTGTGTGAGATTGCTTACCTACATCTCTGTGTATCTGTAAAAGATCCTGTTTGTAGGTGTATGACACAAGCCCTCTTGGGTCTCCAATCTTTCACAGAATCAGAATGGGTCACATTGGAAGGCACCACAGGGGTCACCTGGTCCAACCTCCCTGTTCAAGAAGGGTCATTCCAGAGCATACAGCACAGGATGGTGTCCAGACAGTTCTTGAATATCTCTGGTGAGGGAGGCTTCACAGCCTCTCTGGACAACCTGTTCCGGTGTGCGGTCCCCCACATGATAAAGAAGTGATTCACATTTTAGAAACCCCCATGCATGGAAGCAAAGAGACTTTGTATGTTTTATAAAATTAGTCTTAATGATTAGTTTGACTTCAGGTACATACAGAGAATATAAGTTATTTGGGAAACTGATGTAAAAAAAAAAAAATCAAAAGTGATGTAACTTTTTGCTGTTATCAAGCTTGTGCCCTTGAACGTTAGTGTTGTGAGTTTTGGAGGACTCCATACAAAGAGAACTAAAAGCACTTGTAACATTGTATGAAGGAAATGTTCATACATATACATGCATAGGAATAAAAGAAAAGATAGGTGGTAAAATCATAAAACAGGTCATAAGGATAAATTAGTGCATTCTTTAGAGACCCTGAAGTAAAGAGAGAGAAAGAAACCAAGCAGCCTCTTTAGAGACCCTGAAGTAAAGAGAGAGAAAGAAATCAAGCAGCCTCATTGTCAGAAGAGCATTTACATCCTGCAGAAATCCATTCTGTCCTGTGTGGGAAATGCATGTACACAGCTCTCCACTCGATTGCTTATTGCTGCCCTGTTTATCCCCCACACTTCACAGGGCAGCAAAAGCGAACTGACCTCATGTGCCAACCAAGTCAAATATCTGGCTTGGTTTACTAAACACATGCACTTGCTATGCTCCAAAAGCTGATACTGAGGAATACAGCACTGGATGCACAAATTCCTCTTTGCTTATACAGTTATGTCAGTTTTTGACTGAGTTTCCGGAGAAATTGTTTTTTTTTAAGGGAATGTTTTTTGTCACTGTTGGGTTGGATTTTTTTTTTTTTTTACCTCCAGAGGCTGGATTACAAATTCAAATTCAGACATCATAGTTGTAATCAGTATTTCATAATACCCAAACTTCATGGGTAGCTTGGCTGGCCATTTTTCCAGTCCCTATTATCTTTATCCATTTAATGGCCCAGATGTCAGAACAATAGAAAATGTTTAATATTGACACTGGGGAAGCATAAAGAAAATTAATATTGCTTTTGTTTATTTTTATTTACTAGTAAATGCTTGTTTTGGTGAGTTACCCTAAACACTCTGCACTGTTATGGAAGATTTTTTTCTAAAATTAACAACTATTCACAGGTTAATCCAAATTCAGATGTCACAGGAATTAACCATTTTATATTTTAACAGTTGGATTACCTTATTAATCCCATTAATTATGGCTAGTCTCGTGTCAGCTGCATTGTGTGACAGATATTTGCTCAGCTGAACAGCATGCATTGCTTCTGTTTGCAGTGACCCTACCTCCGCCAGTCTGTTTTTATTTACAGATACTTCTATTATCACTTGCCTGGCTTTATCCCCATTGCTAAGATCCCAGACATCATGATACAGCATGTTTAACTGTAGCAGCTGCTGCAGATCAAGGCACAACCCAGTAACTCTTCAAGCAACTCAGTGACCTTAGGGCATATTTCATTGAACCATTTATTTAGGGGGAAAACCTGCATTTTCATCATCTCATGCCACTATTTACAATCTGAAAATACATTTGAAACTAAGATGCTTATTTGGAGAATGCAGTGGGCAAAGAATAGAAATATTCTGAATAGAGTTTAAGTTATATCAAGGTTTTGAAATAGCTGGTGCAATTAATTCTGGTTTTACGACACAGTGCAGGACACACAAAGCTATTTTTTGCCCTATAATATCCATCCTGTTTCTGTGGGACAAGCCACTCATCTTATTTGAATAATTTTCTCATAGGAGCATTTAATAAATGTTTATTTAATTCTCTTAGAGCTCCAGAAGACAGAAAATGAAGGTGGACAATGCACTGTTTGCTTTCCACTGATGATTTATTATATTAAGACATTCACAGACAATGATTATGTGATGCCCTATTATAAAGGTGGTTGATGACATATTTTCTCTGAGATTTCTTCAGAAATACAGATAACATGAAAGTAATTTTTGGCTCATTATGTTTTATTTCAGCTTATCATAGGAAGATATCTTTTCAGTGTCATTGAATAGGAGATCTTTTGGGACAACTACAGCCCACCTTTCTGAGATTAAAACCTCAATCACAGAATAAATCCAACGCAACCTAGCAGGACTGAATGAACCTGCTAAACAGTTTTGTTTGCAGAGCATGGACACCTCCTCTCCAGAGATACTGCAGGAGGAGGGAGCCTAGCATGGTGAGAGGATAAGGTGCTTTGAAGACCATCATTGCTTCCAGTCTGTATTGCAATAAGGGCATTTTCATTTCAGGACTGTAAAGCAACATTTTAGTTTAAGCCTCAGGCCTCCTTATTGACTTGACTTTATTTTGTCAACCTGACATGTAATCTAAGAAATCCAACCCACCTACAGAGCCAATTTGTGCTGATGTAGCCACCCTGGAGGTCAGCACTTCCAGGAGGCTCAGGAGGTCTGAGAATGTCCAAAGGCTGAACCTAAGAGTCTCATTGTTTCCTGCTGTCCCCCAGGAGTGGGCTCAGCTGAGCCTGAAAGACTTCCAGCACCACAGAGCAGTGACAAAAAACCTTGTAACTCTTGTCTATTGGAGCTCTGAATTTTGAACACTGAAATCCTAAGGCCTGCAGGTGCTTTTCACACCTGTTTGTCTTCTAAATAACTTCTCTCAAACCAACCTGTCCTGTCAAACATTCTGTTTCAAAGAATAAGGCATTTTCCACCCACGAAATGCTTTTTGACATGTTTTCTCTGCAACACTCAGGAGTGAATATTAAGCTCAGCACCCTCTGGCCTTGAACATCTTCCACATCTCTGACATCCAACAGTATCACTGAACAGGTTCCTGGTTGTGCAACAGAAAGGAGACAAAAGGAGCAGCTATAGGTTTCTAGCTCAATAATGGGATTTGGCACAATTTGCAAGGATTGCAAACCACAGAGCACTACTGTTTGACAGTGCACGTTGCCTAATTTATTTATAGATTATTTCAAACAAAGACAAGTAAACATGCACTGTACACCAGAGAACAGTGGAACTAAAGGCACAATAGATGCAGGAGTGTATAATAAATACTCCATTAAGGAGAAAAAACAAAAAAAGCCCCATGTTAAAATAACGTTCAAACAGCCTACTCAAGCATTCAGAAAATACACAGCATAGGGCTGTTTATACAGTCAGCAGAAGGTGCTGTCCAGAAATTCAGCAGCTTGAGCTGCAGCTCCATAGGTTTCCCCAGACACTCTCCTGCCAGGACTGAAGGGTGCAGAAGGAGATGGCTCAGCTGTCCTCCAGCACAGGTGATGCTGTGTGGGCAGGACCCAAATAACTTTGTAGGCACTGAGCCCAGCACAGAGCTGCTGTCAGCTGCAGAAGGGCTGTACATGGTTGTGCTGCATCCAGGTATGATCAAAGGTTACAGCTGAGATCCCTAAAATAGGATTAAACACAATCTTTCCACAGACAGTCATGCCAGAACACAATGTCTTTGAGCCCCATCTTTTCCTTTCCTTCTTTTTTTTTTTTTTTTTTTTTTTTTTTTTTTTCTTGAGTTAACCTTTTATGTCAAGGAAATCATGTTAAGAAAACAGACAGTGAACACTTGAATTTGAGGGGAAAGGAAGAGCAAGTTCAAGTAACATGCACTTTGGGATTATGGTTTATATCAGCTCAAAATTAGAACTGTGAGATATTCATCCACAGCATTTTTTCCTGCTTTCAATGTGACTGAGACGGTCATCATTCCAGCTGGAATTATTTAAGCAGAAGCCATATCCTAATGCATCAATAATGAATCATTTATCTAATTATCTGTATTTGTCTCTGTTCCCATCCAGTTTTGCATATTGAAAAAAATAAGCAACAAATACGATCTATTTTTTCTCCCATTTACACTTTTAAATATTAGCTTTTAATAAGAATTCATAGAAAAAAAGCATATTATAGCAACTAAAAATGTTGAGCATAGTGCTGTTCTTTGCCGTTACACAATTTAAAATAATATGCTGCTTCTGATTTGCATTCTATATCTCATTGCTGCAACTAGATTTTTCTAAAGAGAAAAAAGTTTACACAAAAAAAAACACTGAAGCAAGAGCATCTGGAATTAAACACAGAAAACCCCTCCCTCAGCTAAAGAAAAATGGTCTAACACTAGCTCTGTGCCAAAGTTTAGATCAGAAGAAAAAAAACTAGGCAAGGCTCCTATCTAGAATTCCAGACTAACCCTGATAAGGAAAATAATAATTTTAAAAAAGCTAAGAAATAGCTATAAAATAAGGATGAAGGGATCAGGTGAGATGAAAAGCTAGCTGAGAAATAGGCACTAAAGAAGAAAAAGCCTAAGTTGGAGGTTGAGGATACAGAATTTGATTCCAGAATAAGAAATAAGCAATTACAGGGATTCAGAAGATGAACAACATGGACTTAAGACTCAGGACTGTGGATCTTTAATGTCCATGACTACCTTCTTTCACAACAAAAGCAGAGAAAGCAAAAGATCATCCTTTAAAAATGGATATTGATGCTCAGGGAGCATTTTGATCCTCAGTGGAGGATGGAACAATTTAACAAAGGACCTGGGCTTAGAGGCTCCTGAGGGATAAAGTGCCTCGGGGTCATCACCTGCTGGGCTCTCTGTTCTCATCTTCTGTCGCTGTGTCACACTGGCTGGAGCAGAGTTCCAGGCTGAGCACAGAGTGGTCACGGTTATGATAAACAAAATTATTACTATTTTACTCCAAATTTGCCATACTCGTGTTCTCAGCAAAACCTACAGGTGTGGATTTGCAGAAGCGAAACCCGCTGAAGCCAGCGGCCCCCAGCTCCCCCTTCCCCGCCAGCAGCCGATCCCAGCCGGGCCAGGAGGGTTTCCAAATTCCCGAAACGTCCCGTCCTGCCATGGGCGGCAGCGCTGGAGCGGCCCCGAGGCTGCCCAGCCCCGGTCCGCAGCCCACATCCCTCACACCCCGCATCCCTCACACCCCGCATCCCACATCCCTCACACCCTGCATCCCACACCCCTCACACCCCGCATCCCACATCCCTCACACCCCGCAGCCCACATCCCTCACACCCCGCAGCCCACATCCCTCACACCCCGCAGCCCACATCCCTCACACCCCGCATCCCTCATCCCTCACACCCCACATCCCTCAGCCCGCATCCCACGGTCCGCATCCCGCGCCCGGCAGCTTTTCCAGAGGGATGCTGGCGACATCTGGTGGCTTCGGGAGGGACACCCGGGCCGGCGGGAGCGGCGCGGGGGGACGCGGAGACGGGACAGGAGGGGCCGCCCCAGCCCGGCCACCCCTCACCCCCACCGTGAATCGAGGCGGGGAAAGTAAACCTCGTGGGCTGATATTGGAACAGTTTTGATAATTGAAGCAAAGAAAGATATTATAATAACAAAAATAATAATTGTAATTAAAACGAGAGAGAGGAATAAAACTCAAGACAGATGCACAGTACAAGTGCTCACCACCCGCTGACTGATGTCCAGCCCATCCCTGAGCAGCGATCAGCGACTTTTAACGCGCTGCCCACTCCATTTAACACTGAGCATGACATCCTCTAGTATGGAATATCCTTTCGGTGAATTCAGGTCACCCCCTAGCCATGCTCCCTCAGAGATTCTCGTGCACCCCCTCCTTGGCAGAGCATGAGACACTGAAAAGTCCCTGACTTAGTGCAAGCACTTCTCAGCAACAACCAAAACATCAGTGTGTTATCAATATTACCTTCATACTGAATCCAAAACACAGCTGTACCACCTCCTGAGAAAAAAGTATTTGCACTACACCAGCTAAAACCATGACAAATGATGAGATGAAAAAATATCCTTGCCCTAAACAGTATTAGGATGCTCCAAGCAAGTTCAGCATCTTAGGGAGCTTTAAAGGTCAGATAACAAGAAAAATCTTACTATGAGGATGATTGGAACTAGACCATCTTTAAGGTCATTCTGTGACTCAATAACTATCCCCTTTGCAGGTCTTGCAATGCAGAAACAGCAAATAAGAGGTCTGAACCCAGGTGTGAGCTCCAAACTCTCTAACAGGCTGTGTCTCATCATGTCAAGATGCAGAACATCTTTCAATGGAGAAAGAACATACCTTAAAAAATACTCATGATTTTACTGGAAATGTAAATCGCACACAAACTACGCGTTTAAGTATATTTCAAACATAGCAAGCTCATAAAACTTTAAGACTTTCATGGAAACATCATTCTGTTCCTAAAACAAAGCAAAAGAGTAAACAATTTGTAAGCATCCTGAAGGAACAGCTATTAGTCCATTTCCCAGTTGGAGTTTTCAGCATACTTTTTTTACAGCTTAAATGCCATGTCTGATTGATTCTCATGCTGCAAAGGAAACCCCAGAAAAAAAAATTGATGCATTTTACCATTTTAACTAATGAAATTCATAGGATTCTTGTACCAGACTAGATTGCATCTAGTTTTCCCAGAGAAGTTGTGGGTGCCCCATCTCTGGAAGTGTTCAAGGCAAGGTTGGATAAGGCTCTGAGAAACCTGATCTAGTGAAAGGTGAGGGTCCCTGTCCACAGCAGGAGGGTTGGAACAAGACAATCTTTAAGGCTGTTTCAACCCAAATGATTCTATGATATCAGAACACTGACTGCTACGACATCATAAATACTTCCTCCCCAAAACTGATAGCTATTGGAGGTCACTAAGAACACCTGTGCACACATCTTTCAACATGAATGAGGTCTGGGGAATCCTTCCTCATCCTGATTCATAACATGGGCCAGCTGACCTTCCAAGGTCATGTTAAGGAAAATAGAAATTTTAGGCAAACAAGTTTCTCCATTCTGCCTCCTGTTAGAAGCACTATCAGAATCCCCACACAGCAACAGTTAGGAGCCTTTCTACCTTAGAGGAACTTTCAGAATAGCTGTAGTTACTTAATAATCAGTCATATCCACACACTTCTTAGATTTGGACATTATAAATATTCCTCTAAACCTCTAGCCACTTGGATGCTATAAATGAACCTCATGTCCATAAAACAGCTAAAAAGCAGAGACATTTTGAGGTTACCCCTCCTGGTATATTCAGTTGCTTTGCTTGAAACCATCACATGCAAATATATAGAACAGAAAGTACAATTAATATATACACGGAGTTTGAACTTGGCTTGAGAAATGCCCTGAAGAATGGACTATAACACGGTTAAGCTCCAGGACAAATTCTTAGCCTGAATGCTGTAAAGGTCTTCTAAGTCAGGGAAAAAAACAAACAAACAAACAAAGAAAACAATGGGGCCCTTTGCTTCCCTAAACTGTAGGAGAGGGATTCTTGTTTGGGGCAGTTTAGGACTTATTTGATATAGGTATTCCTCGAGAATCTTTTTGCTTAAGTTTCCTCCATATATCAATGTACCAATTGCTTTCCAGGAATCACAAATATTACAAAGAGAGGGAAGCATGGTTGGAAACTTGGGAATGACAGAATTGATGTGTTTCCTCTTTTCAAAGAAGGCAACAATGAATCAGCCCTAGATAATCACCGGAGCCTTGACTCCAGACTGCTGTGAATTATCCACAGTTAGGAATCAAGGAGTATGGAATGCTTTTCTCTATAGTGGTAGGTGTGTTGCTAAGAGTGGGGTGAAGGGGAGAACACGACAAGGACTCTCTGGCATCTCAGTGAGTCTTGACTGTTGGAGTGGCCTATTGACACTGCTGGCAGCTGATACAGATTGAAGTACTTTGTGAGCCACTCTGCCTTGCCTGATGGGGACTTCAGCTCTACTCAGCGCTGCGAAGGCAGCAGCAAGAGTGTGACGCCTACTTTTGGTCACAGCACTTCAAAAAAGATGGGAGCCAAATGGAGAGAGTCCAGAGAGGTAGTAAGAATGAAGAGAAGTGTAGAAAACATAACCTGAGGTAACAACTTTCCCTAGGAAAGAGAAAACAGAAAATACAGTCCATGAACTTCAGTCTTCAGAAATGTAAGCAGTTACTGCAAATAGAGAATATATCCCTTGGGGTAGGAAAAGCAGTAACAGATTTAATCTGAATCAAGGGTACACTACATCTTTCTCAGGGTACAGAGCAGTTACACCTTCTGGTTTTAGTTGGATATGAATCATTGCACTGCTTAATATGAAATAATATATTAATATAATATATAATTTATACTAATATATTAATATGATGTTTCTATTAATATATTAAGTACAATCTCAATATTTTATTCTTAATTATCCTATGTGCATTTTTCTCTATTGCCTTGGAAAAGTAATACATACAGTCAAAACACTGCCAACAAGTTCAGTGTTTACCAGTTCCTTATTTTCTATATACCTCAGTTTACAGCATTCCTATCTACTTCGTACAGTTGTTGTGAGACCTACTCAAACACCTAAGCTATTTGAAAAGTGCAAGTGTGAATGGCATAATTTTATTAATACATAATGATATTGTGTGTATTTATTAATAGCATATCCCAATATATGTTTAATAGTATTTATTTATATATTATTAACAGAACAAATAAAAATTGAGAAAAATGAGGTCCCAGAGTGTGACCCTACTTTCATCAGAAATTTTTCAGTCTGGCATTTTATAATCATTTATAATTACACAAAGCTGACAAAAAGATTGTTAGGATTATATTCTAATAACTGAGAAAAGAGACAAGGTCAGCAGAGTCATGCAGTCATCTCAAAAAACCAACATCAATAACCTACTTTTCCAAAAGAGAAACGTAGTCAATAAAACATAAAAGAAAAGCATTTTAAAAATTTAAAAGCTTTTCCAAATACAGAAAGTCCATATTATGACAGCAACTGGCCACTCCAGGATGCACATTATCAAAGCATGAAAGCACTGCTGAGGTGACTGAAGTCACTCTGCCTTTAGTCTTGTGTCTCCCAGCACACCCAAGGCACACATTAATGGCTTAATGTGTTATTGCCTAATTAAATGATTGAATACCTTGCATGTAAAAGACAATCTGTTAAGTGGTAGGTTCTGGCACGCCTCGCCCTGAAAACACATTAAAAGCTCTTGCCATCTGAAAAGGAAAGAGATGAGGGCACAAACATTTGAGTCTACACAATACAAAATGAATCCAATAAAAAGTGTCGAAATTTAACGACAGTGACAGTGAGTGCACAAAATCATGAACTTGCTTTCAATCTGTCAGAAGGGAATAAGGAAACAAAAAAGAAAAAAGCCTGGATTCATATGTAAACCAGGTGGCAAATGCCTTCTAAATCATTTGCATGCAGTATCTGTGATGTTTTGTGGAAATGCATGACAACACAGAGGTAAAACCTAGCCTTTGTACCAGGCATTTCCAGGTGCATATTTTCACTAATAAAATCATTGCTGTTTGTGGTTTGACTACACCTGCTACACAAAACATCAAAAATACACTATAGCTATACCTTAGTGAAATTGTCTTGCAATTTAAGGGTGGATTAGCATCATCTAGAGATTGCTAAGGCTAAGAAAACTGAAGCAAAGCTGGAAAGAGACAGTGCCCAAGGTAACAGTGCATGTGTTCAGGACAGACATTTAAACCATAAGCAAACTTTATTTTAGAGTTTTTTCTAAATACAAGAGCTTGAGGATGACATTGACTTTTAGGCATAAAATGCTGTAACAACCACCTGAGGACCCAGGTCTCTGTGCAGTTGGCCATGTACAGCTGTGAATGTCCCAGCAGCCAGGAGGCTGAGCAGCAGGATGCTAGGCAGCAGCACTGCAAGGAAAAGTGCATTTCTGCTAGCATGAAGATGAACTTCACAGCCAAAAATAGCCTTCTGGTTTATTCTGCTTTTAAAGACAAGACCACAAGGCATTTCTGTCTACCTGGACATAGCAAACCCCCAGTTTGGCTGTACAAAACAGGATACTTCAGTTCAGTTGCTCCCTTAGGCAGAGGGAGCTCAGTGTGTCACACAGACCCTTC